GGATTACACGCTGAGCCACCGAGCCCGGCTTGTACATGTGTTTATATAGATATATTTTCATTTCTTTTGGTGTGGACTTGCTGGGTCATATGGTAACTCGTTTACTTTGGCGGAGCTGGCAAAATGTCTTCCAGAGAGGCTGTACCATTTCACAACGCCACAAGCAATGCATGAGAGTCCCAATGGCTCCATATTCCTGCCAACATTTGTTATGTTGTGTTGGGTGTGTCTCTCCAGTTGTCTCAGTAATATGTTGAAAAGACTATTCTTTCCCCATTGACTTGTCTAGGCACCCTTTTGGTCAGTGACTGTCAATATGGGGTTTATTTCTGAATCACCTCAGAGCCCTTTGCATGCTGGTCTGTCACCTGGAACAATCTTCCTCACCTTTTAAACCTGCGTGTCACCTTCTTGCCAGTTTTCCTGGCTAGTCTATACTAATCCTTCAAGTCTTATTATAAGTTTCTTTACATAATCTTTAATGATTCTTTTTCTAGTAATCTTCCAACCCCTCCTAATCTAAGTTAGGCCCTTTGAAAGTACTCTTTCATTATACTTTGTACGTTTTCATTATACTACTTTCAAATAATGTACTTGCGTATTTTTTGTTTGAAAAAAATTTTTTTTTATTAGGGCACTAGGTCCTAGAGAGCAGGAACCATTTTTGTTTGGTTTATTACTATATTCTCAGTACCTCTTACTGTGCCTGTCAACATAAAAGAAAGTGGCAGGCAGTATTTTATTTTAAACTACATGCTTATTGTGTTAGTGACTCAAGTTTCATTTCATTTTCTATCTCAGGGCCATGAAATGACAAGTATTGGACTGCTGCTTGGTGTTTCTGCTGCAAAACTAGGCACCATGGATATGTCAATCACTCGACTTCTCAGCATTCACATTCCTGCTGTCTTACCCCCAACATCCACAGAACTGGATGTTCCTCACAACGTCCAAGTGGCTGCAGTAGTTGGCATTGGCCTCGTATATCAAGGGACAGCTCACAGACATACTGCAGAAGTCCTGTTGGCTGAAATAGGTATAGGATTAATAGTGCTGAATCTTCATAGGCATACATTTCCTATTTCTAAATAAACCCAAGCAAAAATAAGAGTAAATTATAAAAATTAAGGAGAAATTATAGTAGTTTTGTGAGCACAGAATGATCTCGTACTAATTTTAAAAACAACTGCAGGTAGTGTTTTCCAAAACTAATGTTACTATGCAAGTTATTAGCCTGGATATTTATTAGGCCAACCCATTACTGAGCTCCAGTGGTCACATTCACTGAGGTACCTGTGGTCGTAATCACAGATGTGGGTGCTGCTTATCCTGCTGTGTCTTTACCAGGCAAAGTCTAACAGAGACTTGCACTTAAAACTCAAAGTTGACCGTTTTGGTCCCTAATATCACGGTGTTTATTCTGTTGGACAACAGCACTTCCAACAGAATGTAAGTGATTGCTTTTTTTGTTGTTGTTTTTTGGTACACTGACAGCTGTGGAAACCAATTATGATAGTGTCAGAACTTTCTGAGTGGAGTTTTATTTCATCCACATTTCTTGTGTAACTTACTAGAAAGTTAACTCTAAAATGTTTGTGAGTTGAAAATTTGAGAAGCTAGATTCAACTGTATTGCTTATGTTTTTCAGGAAGGCCCCCTGGTCCTAAAATGGAATACTGCACTGACAGAGAGTCATACTCTTTAGCTGCTGGCTTTGCCCTGGGCATGGTCTGCTTGGGGGTAAGCACCATCTGTGCCTTCCCATGTTTTATTTATGGCATCTGCATGTTGAGACAAATAACCTTAACTCTTAAACTCAAATACTACTCTGACTTACTATGACTTAGCCTGATTCCCAGCCCTTTCTTCTTCCTGGATGTTTTTCAAAGCACCAGATTTGTGAATGGGGGAAAAACTATAGTGAAGAATGGGGCTTAAGAATTTTTTTTCCCCCAGCTCATCTATGTATTCATGAATAAACTGGGAAATGAAGGTTCTTTTTTCTGGTTTCTTTTTTAAATAGGAGTCTCACTCTGTTGCCCAGGCTGGAGTGCGATGGCAGAGTCCAGCATTTTGAGGCTGTGGTGGCCTTGAGTGTGCCACTGCATCCCAGCCTGGGTGACAGTGAGACTCTGACTCCAAAAAAAAAAAAAAAGACAACCTGTATATTCCAATGCCAATTCCATTAGGTAGGATTGGGATTACTGAGGCATAGGGTAAATGGTACATTTCGTTTGAACTGATACACCTTTTTCTGTTTTACACTTGAACCAACGCTGTTTGAGAATGCTGGCTGTTGCACAACTTGCTGATAATTGGTGTTACTTGTTTTTAACATTTCTGCTGATAAATGTGCCATGATATTTCATTGTAGTTTAAATTTGTATTTCTCTGCTGGCTAATGATGCTGACAACTTTTTCATTAGCTTATTGGTCCTCCATATATCTTTTTTTGTGAAATATCTTTCAAGTCCTTTGCTTATTTTTTTTTTTTGAGTTGGAGTCTCACTCTGTCGCCCAGGCTAGAGTGCAGTGGTATGCTCATGGCCACCGCAGCCTTGACCTACTGGGCTCAGACAACCCTTCTGCCTGAGCCTTCCAAGTAGCTGGAACTACAGGCACACACCACCATACCTGGCTAATTTTTAAATTTATTGTAGAGATGAGATTTTGCCAAGTTGCCCAGGCTGGTCTCAAACCCTTAGACTCAGGCAGTCCTCTCACCTCCACCTCCCAAAGTGGTGGGATTACAGGCATGAGCCACTGTGCTTGGCTGGGAATGAAGTTTCTTTTTTTGTGTGATGGTTCTACCTTATAATTTTATTTCAATTAGTTTCTGTTTTTCTTGTGTTAACAAAGGGCTCTGAGAAACACTTCTTCAATGCACACCAGAGCCATCTCTCTGTTTTCTCAGTTGTCATGCACAGTTCTCACCATGAATGCATATCTTTCAGTATTACAAATGTTCCCTTGTGACTGTGGAACAGGGAAAGTCAAGGATACTCACAATTCCTATTGGAGATGGGGTAGATCCTCAGATTCCACTGAAGGATGGCAGCATGTACTATTTAGGTTTCATCTGAATGCTCCATCAGCTCCATGCAGGACAGGAATAATCCAATGCACATTTAAACAGGGTGGCAGTTACTGTCCTGCATAACTCAGGAAGGGCTGGAGATTTGGCTGATGTGCCGTGTCTCTTCATTTCCCAGGGTTCTTTCCTTTGCTCCAGACAGGTGATCAGGTCTGGCTTAGAGACAGCAAGTCCTAGAAAAACCAGGTTTCTATGGTTCTCTAACATCACATTCCTGTGCAATATTTGCTGAATGGGGTCCAGGAATACCCATGCCTCTTGAGAGAATTCTATGGCCACATGCTGGAATGTCAATAGCCCCTACTCGAATACTCATCATCTCCCATATTCTGCGTGTCCAGGCCTCCTCCCTATGGACTCCTGAGATCTGCTAGTTACAGGGCAACAGTGACTGAAGTGAAAACACATGATTCCCCCCAAAACAATTCAACATCTCCCTGAAGTTTCTTAAAAAGAGTTCAAAACATACAAGCAAGATGAAGTTATGGCCCATTACAGTGGAAAGCAGAAAAAGTATAAATGCTTATGATAGGGAGCCTTAAGAGTCTGCAGTTAAATTGTAGGCTTCTTTTACCATAGTGGTGTTTTCACTTTGTATCCCAGAATGTTGTCACAGTAGTATTTGCCTTGTGACAAAATACAATATTGGGTTGACCCATCTTTAACTCCAAGAGATGTGCAGAATTTCCAAAAAGGTTTCATTAAATGATTGTTTCACTTGGAATGTGGAACCACCAATACATTATTCTGGTCAAGCCAAATACTGTGAAGAATTTTATAATGAATGGAGTTTTTTCTTATGTGTGTTCTGAAAATCCACCCTGTGTTTGACTGTCTGTTGTTTTGACTTCACGTTTGGCACATGAGCTATAGAGGCAGGTGGTACTATAGAGGAACATTGTACTAGGAATAGGGATCTTAATTCTGGTCCTGGCTAGTGAGTCAAGTCATTTAACTTCATTGGCTATTGGTTAAGCAGCCCCATGGACTGTTGAGCCAAACTGCCTTGTTTTATGTCTAGCCCTGCCACTTACTAGTTATGTCACCTTGGGCTTAATCCCTCTGTGCCTTACTTTACTTATCTACAAAATGGGGTTCTTACTAGTAGCTAAGTGATAGAGTTCTTAATTCATGTTAAATACATGGAATATGTGTATTCTGTGTACACAGAACAGTGCCTGGCATAGAGCAAGCTTTCAGTAAGTTATTATCCTCATAGTGGTTGTTGCTGGAAAAGTACATAGGCATAATAATGAAAATATTCAGGTGTTTATAGTTCAGGTTTCAATTACATAGCTAATATTTTCCTTTACTGTAAAGTGTAATGAATTCCATCTGTTTTTATGCCTTGTGTATTTTATGAAATGAAAGTACATAAACATACATGCATTATAACTTTTATGAGAATTATTATTAGTTAACTCATGATTAATGTTTATTTCAATTGGAACCAAACCAAAGCAAAACCCAAAATACCCTGCTTTGAAGTTAGTTTATTCCTTTGACATCGGTATGTGTTGTGAATCTTCTGTGAGATTTCTTTTCACATGTCTGTTATTTTATTTTCCAGCATGGCAGTAATTTGATAGGTATCTCTGATCTCAATGTGCCTGAGCAGCTTTATCAGTACATGGTTGGAGGTCATAGGCGCTTCCAAACAGGAATGCACAGGGAGAAACATAAATCTCCAAGTTATCAAATCAAAGTAAGTGCAAATCAGAGTAACAGATCGAAACTCTGGAAGCTAAGAAGTTAATTTGAAAATATTAGTTTTCATTCTGGTAATTAGTAAATATGTTAATTATTAAGCATAGGCTAGTATTCAAAATAATTTTATAATAATTCAGAACTCTTATATGAATAAACTTTTCTTTCAACAGGAAGGAGATACCATAAATGTGGATGTGACTTGTCCAGGTGCTACTCTAGCACTGGCTATGATCTACCTAAAAACCAATAACAGGTATTTGTATCCATCCACCCCCATTCCTTGCCATGACATCCTTTCTGACCTTGGTAGTAAAATTCAGTTATCTTATGTGTTTTATTTCCACTGTGATAGATCAACCTGATTTTCATTCTTTCAAATACCGTAAGTTATACAGATTTAAAAATACATATTTTATTATTTTAATCCTATTTGACAATATAATTTCCAATTTCTATTCATTGCTCTTTCATAGTTGATGTCATTGATACCCAAACAAGGCCCATGTTTGTTTTCATTAATTTTTTTTTTTTTTTGAGTTGGAGTCTCACTCTGTCGCCCAGACTGGAGTGCAGTGGCCGCTCCCGGCCACCGCAGCCTCGCCCGCTGGGCTCCGGCAGTCCTTCCGCCTCGGCCTTCCAAGTAGCCGGAATTACAGGCATGCGCTACCTTGCCCGGCTGATTTTTTGATTTACTGTAGAGATGAGGTCTCGCTGCCCAGGCGGGTCTCGAACTCGTGGGCTCAGGCAATCCACGCACCTCAGCCTCCCAAAGGCACGGGATTACAGGCTGAGCCACTGAGCCCGGCTGTTTTCATTAATTTTGCATATCATTGTGAGGACTGGTTAAGCCAGAAATATTTAGCATTAGTCTATTCTTGGTTACTGTGTATATAAATGGTTCTGCCTAGTTCAAGAGGTTTCCCAAAGACCAAATTGTTCACCTTCCCATCTCGCTGTACTTAGTGCTGACACTTCAAGGTAGACCTTTGGCATTTATTCTTAACATCTTGCAAGTTTGCTTAGAAGAGTAACTTGACTAAGAGACAACACGTCATATTTTAAGTTATTAATTATAAAAATATTCTAAGACTCAAGGAACTTCAGTGTTGTAAATTTTTCCCCTTGGAAAAAAGTGAATATGTGTGGTATTAATAGGGTGGTTAATAGCGGTTATTTATTCACTTAGTGATTAGTTGAATCTATATGGCAGTGCTTTCTTGGACTGGGAATATTTCATTGAATAAAACAAAACTAAAAATATCTGTGCTCATGGAGCTTATGTTATAGTAGACAGCATATATACATAATATTATGTTAAACAGTAAATATTATGTTTGAAGGTGTGAAGTTTATGAAAAAAAGAAATGTAGTGGAATGGGAAGAAATATTTTGAAATATGTCTTGAGATTCTTGATTGTCTTGAGCAGTACCCCTCTCTGATGTCCTCAACCAACAGGTCCATTGCAGACTGGCTGCGGGCTCCTGATACCATGTATTTGCTGGACTTTGTGAAGCCAGAATTTCTCTTGCTTAGGGTATGGTGCTTTGTCATTGTTCATTTCTGTTAACATGATGAGTCTATTTGTGATTCATAAATTTAGCTTGCAAACATAAATGTCTTTACAAGAGAGCCTTTTACTTTTAATTATTCATGTATGTCTAATTGGCAGTGTTTTTTTGAAATTTCCCAAAAGTAACTTTAGGAATCCCAGGAAAGATTACAACATTGATGTATACTTGGAATGACATTTCACCTCCTCACATTATTATTCAAAACTTCCTAAAAAGCAATCATGTGACTGAGACTTTATTACTGTTTTATTTTACATTTTTAGAACACTATTAGGCATTCAGTAATACTGTTAAGGTATTATATGGTATGACAACAACAGTTTGACATAATTGCCTAAAATTTTTCCTCTGTTCTTTTTTTCTCCTAATGTTTGAACTTAGCATATGGAAGCCTTTAAATTGCAATGTAGATAGAGCTTTATTATATGGTTTTTCTTTCACAAAGCATGTTTAAAAAGTTCTCCCAACCCTCTATACTTTGATGCTGATAGACTCAATTTTAGTTTTTCTTTATTAATTTAAACATTTTTATTTTAATAAGTAGTTGGTACTACGGATGGTTCCCAACTTAGGATAGTTTGGCTTAGGATTTTTCAACTTAACCATAGTGTGAAAGTGATAAGCTTTCGATAGAAAACGTATTCAAATTTTGACTTTTGATCTTTTCTTGGACTAGCAATATGAGTCTGATAACTCTCTCATGATGCTGGGCAGCACCGTAGCTGCCAGTTAGCCGACTCTGCAGTCACGAGGATAAATGACTGACACTTTACAGTGTTCTGTGTTACAGATGATTTTGCCCATCTGTGGGCTAATACAAATGGTCTGAGCACGATTAAGGTAGGCTAGGCTAAGCTGTGATGTTCAGTAGACTAAGTGTACTAAATGCGTTTTTGACTTAAGATATTTTTGATTTATGATAGGTTTATCAGGATGTAACTCTCCCACATTTGTATATATTTTTCAAAATTGTCATTAGTTGAGAACTGTTTCTTAAATTGTTCTGTTTAATATTACCATTGTTATACAATCCATGAACTTTACCTGCTCCAGTTAATTTTATCTCTGTTGTATTTTTAAGACACTTGCTCGATGCCTGATTTTGTGGGATGATATTTTACCAAATTCCAAGTGGGTTGACAGTAATGTTCCTCAAGTAAGTACACAAAATAAGTAGTATTATATCCTTAATAGCAAAAAATTATAGTATCTTGAGGAATTTTTCAAAAGCTTATAAACTATTTTTTCTTAGGAAGGTGATATTGACCATTAGGGCATCTTTTAAATATATAGAAATTTTCATGTTACTTTAAAAAAAATTTTTAATGTATTTTTGTTTTTTAGGATTTTGTTTTTTAACATGGGGTCTTGCCATGTTGCCCAGGCTAGTCTAGAACTTCTGGACTCAAGGAATCTTCCTGCCTCAGCCTTCCAAAATGCTGGGATTATAGGCATGAGCTACTCTGCCTGACCTGGAACTCCCATTTTAAGATTGTATACTGATCACAGACCCCAGCTTTCCTTTTCAACCTCAGATTCTTAGAAATTGTAGTTTTAAAAATTAAGTACAGCCAGTCTCGGTGGCTCAGCCTGTAATCCCGCGCCTATGGGAGGCTGAGGTGAGTGGATTGCCTGAGCCCGCGGGTTCGAGACCCGCCTGGGCAGGCGAGACCTCATCTCTACAATAAAATCAAAAAATTAGCTGGGCATGGTAGCGCACGCCTGTAATTCCGGCTACTCGGAAGGCTGCGGCAGAAGGATCGCCCGAGCCCAGCAGGTCGAGGCTGCAGTGGCCGGGAGCGGCCACTGTACTCCAGTCTGGGCGACAGAGTGAGACTCCAACTCAAAAAAAAAAAAAATTAAGTGCATACACCAAATACTCGAAAAAAATATTTTTGATATTTTTATTCTAATTAACTAAGCAGACATTTACCTAGGATGATGCTGTGCTTTGTGACAATTTTAGATCTCCTATACAGTAACTTCTTTTTGTTACCTTATAGTATACTTATTCAATAAGTCAAGTATTTTAAAAATAAACAGACTCCTTTGTAAAAACTCAAAATCAAATATTGTAAAGAGCTATTGCCCTTAGTCATGTCTTATGGTCTTAGTTTCTTTTTTATCCTTGAGAATACTACTTAGATTATTTGTTTTCTTTAATATTTTTAGAAGCAAAGGCTCAAAATAAAGATTGGGACAGCTTTATATGTTACACCCATATCACTAATAGATTCTACAGTTAATATTTTACTATAAAAACTTGTTTAATTACATATCTGTCTACATATCTATTTATCTAATCCATCGTTTTTCTATTAAACTTAAAGTTAGTTACAGAGAGTAATACACATCTTAATATTGCAGAGTATGTATCAACTAGAATTCAGTATTTACTGACATCTTTTTCTTTTAAGATAAAATTTACATTTCATGAATTGCACAAATCTAAAGTATACTATTTGATAAGCTTTGACTGATATATATGACTTTGGAAACAAATCTCTGTCCCTTATGCCCCTTCCCACTCTGTGCACTCACCCTCTACCCTCAAGGTAACTAATTACGTATTGTATTCTCCAAAATATATTAATATTCCTGTTGTAGAACTTTGTATTAATGGAATCACATATAGCATATACCTTTTGTGTAAGACTTCTTTCACTCAGCATAATTTTGAGATATTATTGTGTATCAATAGTTCATCCTCTTTTTAATAGGTGTTAGAGGTTGAGTATTGATTATCTGAGATGCGTGGGACCAGAAGTGTTTGGATTTTTCCTGATCTTGGAAGATTTACAATTATACTTACTGGTTGAGCATTCTTAATCTAAAACTCTGAAATCCAAGTGCTCCAATGAGCATTTCCTTTGAGCATCATGTTGGTGCTCAAAAAGGTTTGGAGTTTTGAGCATTTTGGAGTTCGGATTTTTATATTAGGGATGTTCAGCCTGTATATTCCAGACAAGATCAGGCACATTCAGGATGCTATAGACATAGACAACATGTATATTCTGCTGGGCACAATGGCTCTCACCTGTAATCCCAGCACTTTGGGAGCCCGAGACAAGAGGATTGCTTGAGCCCAGTTTCAAGACCATCCTGGGAAACTTCACGAGACCTCGTTTCTACAATAAATAAAAAAATTAGCCTGGTATAGTGCCACAGATCTGTAGTTTTAGCTACTTGGAGGGCTGAGGTGGAAGGATTGCCTGAGTCCAGCAGGTCGAGGCTGTGGTGGCCTTGAGTGTGCCACTGCACTCCAGCCCGGGTGACAGTGAGACTCTGACTCCAAAAAAAAAAACAAAACAAAACCTGTATATTCCAATGCCAATTCTATTAGGTAGGATTGACATTACTGAGGCATAGGGTAGATGGTACACTTAGTTTGAACTGGTAAACCTTTTTTTCATTTTACACTTAAACCAATGCTGTTTGAGAATGCTGGCCGTTGCACAACTTGCTGATATTTGGTGTTACTAGTTTTTAACATTTTAGCACTGCTGATAAATGTGTCGTGATATCTCATTGTAGTTTTAAATTTGCACCTCTCTACTGGCTAATGTCACTGACAACTTTTTTCATTAGTTTTATTGGTCCCTCATATATCTTTTTTGGTGAAATATCTGTTCAAGTCCTTTTGCTTATTTTTATTTTTGAGTTGGCGTCTCACTCGGTCACCCAGGCTGGAGTGCAGTGGCACACTCATGGCCACCGCAGCTTCAACCTACTGGGCTCAGGTGAGCCTTCTGCCTCAACCTTCCAAATAGCTGGAACTACAGGCATCCACCACCATGCCTGGCTAATTTTTTTAAAAATTTATTGTAGAGATGAGATCTTGCCAAGTTGCCCAGGCTGGTTTCTAACCCGTGGACTCAGGCAATCCTCTCACCTCAGCATCCCAAAATGCTGGGATTATAGGCATGAGCCACGACGCCCGGCCTGCTTGTTTTTAAAAAACTGAATTATCTTTTATTATTGAGTTGCTGGAATACACACACACACACACATTTTTTTTTTCTAGAAACCTGTCTTTGGTCAGATTTATGTTTCTTTTGTTTTTTTGAGTTGGAGTCTCACTCTGTTGCCCAGACTGGAGTGCAGTGGCCACTCCCAGCCACCGCAGCCTCGACCTCGTAGGCTCTGGGGATCCTTCCGCCTCAGCCTTCCAAGTAGCTGGAAACTACAGGCACACACTACCACGCCTGGCTATTT